CAATAATGGCCAATGAAAATCGCCCTTGTCCAGTAACCCGTTCAATGGGGGAAATGTTATGAGGTTTTCAGAGGTAGGTTCGCATCAAGCGCAATTTCATGGTACGTCTGATTCTATGGACGATGATAATTTCGATTGTCGTTAAGTACATTCTGATATGGATCGTATTGAATACAATAAAATAAAAGGTAAAGAAAATACAACAAAAGGATTGACACAAAGTAGATGTCAAAGTGAAAGTTATAAAACTAATCACGTGGCATGAATGTTGTAAAAACAGTGATAAAAAGACCTCTAGTGTTAAGCAGTTAGAAATCGAGGGAGCTGAGGAATACGCAAATGTAGAAGTAAGGAAGGTAAATGGAGGTAGACCAAGGTTTGTTACAGAGGAACGATTAGAAAACAGATTAGGTGTGTTTGCTAAAGAAATTCGACATGAGATTAAAGATGGTCACACACAATTAAGAAATGACTTTAAAGATGAAATTGGTAAGCTTTCTTCAGCAATAAAGAAAAATTTTCCAAATAAAGATGCAGTAAACAGAAAACAAAATGACAGTCCAAAATTCTCTTTGAAAGATACCACATGTTATACTTGTCAGAGAAAAGGTTATATCAGTAAGTTCTGGGATTTTAATAAAGGGAGACAGGAAAGCCAATACAGTGCTTATATACAGTATAAGGGAACATATAGAGCAAAAAGTAACCTGGTTCCTACTGGATCAGGAGTTAGACTAGAATGGATTTAGCCTAATAGCCAAGACTTAACACGGGCAGTTAAAATTGAAGAGAGAAGCACTAACACTTCAACTGAAATGTTGAATGTTAAAATTTTGAATTGTAATTACCAAGGGGGAATGAAGATTCTAATACAAATCCAGTTATAGATGAATGTATTGACAATAGTTTTGAAATATTTTACACTGATCTTGACACAGCGATGGTGGATGTTGTAATTGATAGGGTCAGGTCCGTAACTTTGAGGGCTTCTCTCAGTATTGAAGGTCAAACGGTCAAGGCTGTAATTGATACAGGTGCTGAAGTAACTGTGATGAGTGAATCTTTGTTTTTTAAAATACCTGAAGCTAAGCGTCCATCATTTCAAGAGGCTAAACGTAATTTGTTGGTTGCCGAAGCGGGTAAAAGGATGAAAACTCAGGTGTAGCAGAAGTTTCTGTCGAAATAGGACCTTTAAAGTTTTTGTGGTCAATTTATGTGGCTCCCATAAGTGCTGATTTGTTATTAGGCTGTGATGTTATTGATGAAAAATACATTACTATTAATACGAAAAGGGGTTTAAAAATTCAAGGGGTCTCGATAGATTGTGATGTACAGAGAAAATCAGATAATGTAGCTAGAATTTTATTAAAAGAGACTGTAAATATACCTCCCAATTCAGGAGTAGTTTTAGAAGGTCAATGGGTAAATTGTGAGACTATAGATACTAGGTATGGTAGTACTGAGCCCTTGATAGAGGATGAGAGGAAGATTTTAGTATCCAGATGTCTTGTAGATCCTTTTAAAGATAATATTCCTGTTAGATTAGTAAATTTAGACAGTTCTTCTGTGAAGATTCGTAAAAATTATTCGTTAGGAGAAATTCATCCTGTCGTTAAGTATGACAATTTTGTACATGAAGATAGAAAAAGTTGTAATATTTCCAGTTCAACTGATGGTATAAATGATTGGGTTGAAATCGGTAAAGGTATTATTCAGGATGATGTGATTGAACCCCCTAATATTCCTGATGATTTAAAGTGTTTTAAGGTTTCTAGTTTAGACACTTAACAATGGAGTTCAGGCCAACCCTCCAAAATTACCGTACCATTTGAAGGATTTATATGACAAGAGTTGTGTTAAACTGAGTAATTCTAAAGAAAAACTTAAATTGGCTGAGGTTTTGATTAAAAATTAGAATGCTTTTGCTAAAAATAAAACTGATCTAGGTACTTGCTCATTAATTGAACATAAATTGAAACAGCAGGGGCAGCTCCAATGAGACAACCGTTGAGGCGCACACCACATTATTTTGAAGGGGAAGAAGAAAACTATTTGAAGGACCAACTTGACCCAGGTGTAATCAGACCTTCAAAATCAGTTTGGGCATCATGGGTGGTTCTCGTTAGGAAGAAAGACGGCTCAGTACGCTGGTGTGCTGATTACAGAAAATTAAACCAGTTTAGTGTACGGGACGCGTACCCACTTCCATAAATATCTATGTGCCTTTATTGTCTAGCAAACGCAAGTTTATTTTCAGTCTGTGATCTTCAGTCAGGTTATTGGCAGCTTCGTATGGCGGAGGAAGATAGTCATAAAACTGCTTTTATAACAAAGTACGGGTTTTATGAGTATATTAAAATGTCCCAGTCCAATGACTATTTAGAGATATCAGGTGACTCATATAATATAACATGGGAAAACAGGCATTGTGATTTGACATTAAAAGAGGAGAAATATCTGTATCCAGAACCAAATGTAGTTCCAGTTTTATTGGAAATTAATGAGGATTACTCTGTTTATAATGAAACTGTTATAGAGTCAACAGCATGCCAGACAGAGGAAACAATGAAAACATCGAAAAATTAAAAGCACATCATAAGAGGGAAATGAACAGTTTAGAAAACTACATCGTAAGGTTAGAAAAGAAGTTATCTGTTAGGGACCAAGACATTTGTGAATTGAAAAGAGAACTTAAGTGTACTGAACTATTTATCCAAGGTTTCAATGAAATGTGGAAAGACCAGGTTTGGGACAAGAAGGAGCAAAAACAACGTGAAAGAAAGAGAGAAGACGGGAGGAGGGGAAAAGTAGCGAAAGAAAACAAAGAACCCTTTGTGGAGACATTCAGCCCACAATCCAAGAAGATGAAGAGCTTAGTAAAAAAAACTATTTTGAAAATTAAGACATAATATTGTAATATGACATTGCTGTTTGTTGTTTTTATTGGAATTATTTTTCAGGTGTTTTGAGTTGTAAATTAAGTACATATCACATTTCTTTTGAAGAATGAAAAACATTTGTTTTGTGATATGTTGAATTTTTAATAATTTGTCTAAAATTTTAAATAAATCCATTAAATCTTAGTGTACAGCAATGGTGAAGTCGTCGGTTGTTCATAAAACTATTCTTAAATTTGTTAAGAAATTTATTAAATAAACATAGACTCAAAGATGTTGGTATTCAAAACTAGTTTTAATGTAGTTTAATTGAAATGATATTTTGGGAAAAACTAAAAGTTCAATTTTGTCATTAAATTGTTATACATATATTTATAGTGGTGTTAAATGGTGAAGTCCATTCCGCTGTTTTAAATACTACAATTGGGCTACTAAGAGGTGAAGTGCTCAGTCCAATATGTTATATGGCATATATATTTTTTAAACAATTGTCTAGATTGTAAATGAGCACAAATATAGCCAAATAGTTATTTTGGAGACAAGATAGATTCTCAGAGGGGGCAGTGTTGTAAAATTGACGTCTTTTCATTTATGGGGAATTTGCACAATATTAATCACTTAAACTAGTTTGATCGGTTTCCCTTTAACTGACATGATAAATGAAATAAAGTGTCACTAAGGTGTATTCTTGAAACTTACTTTAAAGGATTATTTATTACTCAATTTACATAGTTTCATGTTCGTGTTGAAAATTCCGCCAATCTACATCTTGAACTCTTGCGCTTGAGTTATTGTTCTTTGAAAACATTAATCTCTTGACTTTTTATTATTGGAATGTATGTGCTCGTTGTAAAGTTGTATATAATTATTTCTGAATTGCATGATAAGGTAATATCCTATGATGAAACTTAAAGATATTATTATTGTTTTACTTTGTTTTCACGGCTAGTAATTCCGCGAAACAATTTGCACAGTTTAGATTGCCCAGAGCTCGGATGTTAAACTTTGAGCTCCTTACCTTTTTCGAAAATTGGGTTAAATATTGGATAAAGAATTTATATAAGGTTAATATTTTTAGTAATTAATTATTACCTATATTCCTATATATTTTAAGTCATAAAGCGATGAAGTTCGCGACTTGAAAATATATGGAATCTAGGTTTTTACATTGAAAGTTATTTTAGAGTCCGGGAATTTGTCCTTAGCTAAAATTGTTATTACTGTTATTTATATGTAGTTAATATTTAATACCGGGTAGGGCAAAATTCACTGACACACAGGTCAACGTTTTTTTTTTTTTTTTTTGTATTTTGTCAGCTGTACTACTTTATTTGTTTAATATTCGTAAATATCCGTGTAAATAAATTATATTGATTTTGTACTTTGATTTCGTGAATAATTTGCCATCAGATTCTTTTCTTAAAATATTCAAACCGCTCGGAGGCAAAATTTCACGACAATACGCACATTACCATCCTCTTTTCCTTATTCATGACATAGTCACCCAATTTTACCTGTAATTCTCGAAACTACGAGTGTCACTGATGGAGCATGGACTACATACGTTCAAGATCACAACAACCCAACTAGTGACTAGGTTATAGAAATATAATCCTCATGGGACTTACTTATCCAACCCAGCTGTAAAACTCAAGCTGAAAGAGGTGTCTGTGTCGCTGTGTTTGGGTGTATAAATACACAGCCACATCCGACCGGAATGGTAACGTGAAATCCCATTTCATTTCATATGAATAGGACCACGCACCTTGTATGTTAAGAAATCGTTTCAAGAAAATGTTCAGATAACCAAAGGTTGCCTTTTGGGTAAATTTCCGCCTTTCGAGCTACCTATTGAATATACTGCTAATTGTTTCTTGTCCTGAATATAAATGACATATTTACCACTGGAAGTTAGCCCCGGAGTTCGACCTGGCTTTTAGTGTGAATCGTGTTGCTTAACCTATAGTTTTCTCTGTAATGTTTTGCGCACTTTTCTTTTGTTATTGTTTCGTCTGCTCTTCCTTGACTTTTAATTTTAACTTCACCTTGGTATCTTTTTTTCACAGAGCATACATCATTTTGTTTTACAAAAATGAACATAAATGATTCTTGATGTTTACTTTCTTTTAATATGTAAATAGTTACAATTCATATTTAAAATTAATACCACATTAAAGTTGCAATTTTGATTCATGTGGTACTGCAATATAACTATTGTTATAAGATCTTCATGTAGCTTTGAAAAAATCGAAAAGGTCAAAATAAATGCATTAGATGACAAAACAAGGTCATTACATAAAATTCGTTATATGGCAAGTTAATATATTGTCAATCCAAAAAATGTTATAATAATTGGTAAATAATAAACCCATTCAGTTGGGCTCGAATTAAAAAAGTTTAAAAAGTAAAAATAAGAACACGAAGTTGAAAAGCAGTCAGGGCCCAAAATTCCGAACGGTGTTGCCAATTATACAGCTACTGTGGATTCATTTATTTTCGTGGGTATCAATTTTCGTGGATAATTGATTTCGTGGTTTTGCCAAAGTCTGTATACAATCCTAAAGAACATTTGTATTTCATTGAAAATTTGAATTCGTTGTTCACCTTTACCCACGAAATCCACGAAAATTGATATCCCACGAATAGTAATGAATCCACAGTAAGGTAATCTATACCATGGGTAGAAGATCCTTAGAATTTAAATAAAATGAAGTTTTGTAAACGGTTAATTACTTATTTTGTCCACTTTTGTACTGCATAGCCATATTCTATCATACGCTTTTTTTTAAAATCATAACCGAGTTTATAGGAACGAATATCATATGCTGTTACTCATTTTATTGCACAATCAGAGTTTTATTAAAAGTGAGCACTTGAAATCGCCGCGATATAGCTTTTTTGTGGTCAGTCGGCGTACAGCAAACAAATCAAACAATATACATATATTCTGAAATTATATGTCATATTTTACATATAAACCGTGTGTTTTGTATCAAATATTAACAAATTATCAGCAATCAATTAAAACATGTTATAATATGTGTGCATTAGTGAAGCAGGTTACTGCTTTGTAAGAACGCCAACTGCTTGATTATATGCCATTTTTTCGCCATAAATCTATTTAGATTTTAGATACTGATACGAAAAGTTAAAATATTGCCGAAAGTGGCGGAAAGCTGAAACGAAAATCAACTATAATATTTCATCTTGCTATTATAAAATTGACGAATAGTTAATACGTTTATGCACCAAATGCAACCGTCTTTAAAAAAAAGCTAATTTGTGTTTGTCTCTATCTTGATTCTGTTAATACCCTTTTTATTGAGCCAATTACCAAGTAATTATGTTTGAAAGTAAAACTATAAAGTTGGTACGTCCGAAGTACTTTATTTTATTAACCTTCATCAGAACGCCCAAACCAAAAGAAAAGTGAAATCCAAGGGTGAATCAATACCTTAAAATAAGCTTTTGCAAATATGTAAAAATAATATGTTCTAACATACACTTACTTCGTATACTGTATGTGTACGTTAACTAATAGACCACTTTTCGAGTTCGTTGCATTTCCTTCAAAAACTTTGGTTTTAGTGAACATCATTCGTGCGTATAGGGGCATCGTCACTTCCTTCCAATTTTGAGCGAGCGGTTGAAAAATATGATGCTATATTGCACAAATTATTCGGCAAGTTAAATTCTTATAATTGATAATCAGCACTGCTGTATTTAGGGAACTATGATTAAGTACCTACGGAACAAAAAATATTTCTAGTTTATCCTACATAATGACGCTTGGTGAACTTTGATAGTGCAGGGATACAGGCGGTCCCCTCTATCTGATAAATGACGTCGTAAAGGACGAACTTTTCCGTGAAGGATATAACTCGAAAGTGGTCTATTGAATAATGTCTTTGATAAAAAAAAATTAAAAAATGTATACAATGCAAGTAAATTAATACAAAAATGATTTATTTTACGTTAATAAAAACCAGAAGAAAAAACATCAAACAAAAAATTGCAGATTACTAGTACTCGGTCTACTAATATAGACTTCTATATAGGTAAATCCTGCCATTTTGTGAAAAATATAAATGCATACATGTATATTATGATTCCACGGAATCATGCGTCACACTTTATTTCCTTTATGAAACAATGCCTGTAATTCCACGTTTTACTCGAAGGCTATTTTGTCTCTCATATTGACGGGTGCTGGCTTTTGTCATCAAAACATTTTTGGTATTTTTCCATCTTCCTGCTCCGTTTATTCGTTTGCAGTGTTATAATACATATTTCAGATGATATATGTAGATCAGATCTTGTTATTTATCCAAATGTCTACTTGATTAGAGTACGTGGCACGTGACATATTTGTATAATTATACTTAAAATGAATGATTTGTCCTGTACAGCTTAACAACCATTAATTATACAATGTTGTACATTGTACATTAAATAATTACATTGTAACATTCAACCACCTCCACCTAGACGATTAATGTAATCGGTAACATTTCTCCTATTAATGTAGTCCATATAATTGCCATCTAATAATCGTTTGCCATTGTTTTGAACCATCCAGCATTCTATTTTTGAGTTAGTTGCTAAATTCAACCGCCTCCCTAGTGATGCACATACTTTTCGTGGCTTTCTAGTGTTTCCGTGAACTTTTAATTTGCCACGAGTGCGTCCATTTTTTAGAGTCTTTTTCTTCTCTAATGTTACTTTTCTGTATAAAAATTGCCCTAGAAAGTAATATCAAGAATTCTATATTTACTGAATGAAAAATGAGAAAATACAATGCAAGCGTAATCACAAGGTTTTGATAGGAAATCTTAATGATCCTAATATTCCAATGATAATACTTCTAACAAGATTTCAATGACCGAAGAGTATTTGTTATGGATGTAAAAGAAATTTTCTATACAGCATATATTTACTGGCATCACCCATGTGGCTTATGGGTTTTTCATAACCCAGGTATCGTTGATAATCACTGAAATTCTACTGTTTTAATCAACGGTTTGCATGATTGTGTAATTATAAGTTGAGGTATTACAAATTTCAACTGAAATATAATACAGTTTGGAATCCGCCATGACATAATAAATGTATCTTCAACGCGTGTTCGTTTTCTCTGTTGAATTGTTTTATATTTTGTCATGTCGGGATCTTTTATATCTTACTTTGTGGTATGGGTTTTGTCAATTGGTGAAGACCCTACGGTGACCAATAGTTGCTAACATCAACGTCATTTGGTTTCTGGTGGATAGTTGTCTTCAATTTCTTAATAATGGCAAATGATTTTTTAAGACCAACCTCTAAATAAAAAGTCTTTGAAATAGCTTACCTAGTAGCCCATGAGTGGACTCAGAAAATCCACGATCTTCTACTATATAAAAACCCAGGAAGTCGACCTTTCCTGCACGTTTTTGTGACTTAGTTCTCGTATGTTTCATGACTAATAACGTTATTCTGTTTGGAAACATAACAACAATCATTTCGCCTGTCCCGTCTGTTACAATTTTTGTTTTATATGATGTCATTACTTCTGACGACAACCATTTATGAACATCCCCATTCAGTATCCATCTTTCAGGAGTAATGCTTATATGAGTTCCAAAGCCAGAAATTACTATACTTCCAAGATAGGTTTTTAGCTCTTGGCTGCTGTCCATGGAATCATCTTTTCGTTTCTTTCTGATGAATATTCGCTTGTTTGATACAATTATGCCGTTAACAACAATACCTGTGAAAGAAACAAAACTATGCTCTCGTTAAGAAAAGTTGTATTACCAATTTCGAATATGATGTCCTTTTTAAATACCATCAATACAATGCATTTAAAATTCAAGATATGAAATTGCGTATTGAATTGGCTTGGTAAAATGCAGTGAGGCTATAGAAAGATATTGTTCTACAGATTTTCAATGTCAGAAATAGTTTTTACAAAACCTTCCTGTCAAGACCATAGAATACATTTTAATATCACTATTTATAAAATATAATGAAGAAAACTATTACTTTAAGGAACACAAAAGTTATTTAAGTTCCTTAATTTGCTTCACTCGTACTAATTTTTGACTGATGAATTGTTTAAGAAAATAGTCTCTGTCCAAATGCCTTCCTTTTAAAATATTTGTTTTACTTTTGAAAAGAAATTTGAAAAATAAAACAAGCAAGCTCTGGTTCTGAAAAAAGTCAAAACTGAGATTCAACTGACTAGCTACCACAAAAGGAGTACGACTAATTTATTTAAATGTTTATTGTTTAAAACCTATATCATTTAATATGACATACTTTATTGGACCCGGTTTTTGGTGGGGTTCGTATTGCTCAGTCTTTAGTTTTCTATATTGTGTTCTGTGTACTTCTTTTGGTTGTCTTTCGGTCTTTTTCTTCTTTTTTTCCATGAGGTTGTCAGTTTATTTTCGAATTATGAGTTTGATAAATAAAGGCAACAGTAGTATACCGTTGTGCAATAGTCATTAATCGATTAAGCGAAAACAAATCCGGGTCACAAACCAAAACCGAGGGAAAAACATTAACTATAAGAGGAAACAACGGAACAACAGAAACACTGAACTGCTACAAAAAAAAACGAAAACATACATAGAAACGGACTACTGTGGACTCATTTATTTTCGTGGGTACCAATTTTCGTGGATTGCAGAAAACTTGTCTTTTCGTGGATATGTGATTTCGCGGTTTTGCTGAAGTCTGCATACAACCTGGTAGAAAATTTGTAATTGGTTGAACATTTAAATTCGTGGTTCACCTGTACCCACAAAAACCACGAAAATTGGTATCCAACGAATAATAATGAATCCACAGTATTTAATAACAACTGATATATTCCTGAAATTTGAATGTCCCTTTTGGTATCTTTCGCCTCTCTTTAGCTCACCGGGGCCCGAAGGGCCCCATGTGAGCTTATGCCATCACTTGGCGTCCGTCGTCGTCCGTCGTCTGTCGTCATCTGTCGTCGTAAACTATTTCAAAAATCTTCTCCTCTGAAACTACTGGGCCAAATACCTTCAAACTTTAAATAAATGTTCCTTAGGGTATCTAGTTTATAAATTGTATCCGAAGTTTTGATCCATCAACAAACATGGCCGCCATGGCTAAAAATAGGACATAGGGGTCAAATGCAGTTTTTGCTTTTTATCTCAAAAACTAAAGCTTTTAGAGCAAATCCGACATGGGGTTAAATTGTTCAGTTGGTGAAGATCTATCAGCTCTGAAATTTTCAGACGAATCAAACAACCCATTGTTGGGTTGCTGCCACCGAATTGGTAGTTTTAACAAAATTTTGCAGTTTTTTGTTATTATTTTGAATATTATTATAGATATATATATAAACTGTAAGCAGCAATAATGTTCAGCAAAGTAAGATCTACAAAAAAGTTAATATGACCATAATTGTCAATTGACCCCTTAAGGAGTTATTGCCCTTTAAAGACAATTTTACATAATTTGTTCATCAAGTTTGCTAACATTTAAAAATCTTCTCCTCTGAAATGCAGGTGAGCGATTCAGGCTCTTGGGAGCCTCTTGTTTATTGAAACTACTTGAAGGGAATCAAATATAATGTTCTTTAAATTTTGGTTACCTAAGAACAATTCGTCCTACATATCCATCAGCCAATTATCTTTTATCCCACCATAGATATAACATGGTAGTTGTTTTAAAGTGTGCTTAACTGTTGTCTGGTGCATTAATAATTTCAAAGTTACACGATGGGTGTCACATGTGAATCAGGATCTGCTAAACCATTCGGAGAACCTGAGATTACCACCGGTTTTAGTGGGGTTCGTGTTACTCAGTCTTTAGTTTTCTATGTTGTGTTTTGTACACTGTTGTTTATCTTTTGGTAGTTTTTTTTTGGCATGGCGTTGTCAGCTTCTTTTCGACTAATTAGTTTGCATTTCTCTTTGGTATCTTTCGCCCCTTTATTGTTAAGCCAAGAAGAACCTACAAATAACCGAGCTGCGAAAACACTTGCTTTGTGTGAGATATCTTTTTCTTCAATACGTTTGGTAATGCTTTCAGTAATAAACAATTAATATCCATCAAATCATGCCTTAATCATTCGCGTGAAAGCGTAACCTAATAGGAATGTGATAATCTGGGGCTATCAGGACATAAGCAGTAATATGATATAATGTAACTTCTATTTCAGTACCATTCAATTTCAATCTGTGAATCGTAAGCGTAAAACCATTTACCTGAAATTTCGTCTCTGACCAGATTAATAATATCTCCAGGTATACCCATAATATCAAAGCATACCGATGTATCAATCCCTTTCATGTGTACTATGAAATGGGGATCGTTGTCAACTACAATAAAAAGTTACTATTAGTAAAACATCAAATATTTCATTCCGTCAATCCGCAACGAACAGTTATACTGACTTTATTCTAAACGCCTTCATATTTTGAGCTGATTTTTAGTATGTGGGTCTACGATGATGAGTAACAGATCGAGTTTACGTTTGGTTCTGTTCTGCTGATTTTTTTCAAAAATTACGGGCTTTGGCTGATTTTTGCCGAAGTTACGGATTTTGGACTTTTAAAACTACAGTTATACGGACTTTTTTCAAAATGCCTTCACATATTTATGATTTTTAGTATGTGAGTCTAGTATGATAAGTTACAGATCGATTTTACGTTTGGTTTCGCTCCGCTGCTTTTTGCCTAAATTACGGGCTTTGAAAATTTCGTGAACATAACAGTTATAAGGACTTTTTTTCTAAACGCCTTCACTTATTGAGCTGATTTGTAGTATGTGGATCTACTATGATGTGTTACAGATCGAGTTTACATTTGGTTCCTCTTCGCTGATTTTTACCGAAGCTACGAATTTGAAAACGTACAAGCGGGGCCATTCGTGTCGATCTGACACATCTAGATTTTAAAATGTATAGTTTTACTTATATAAAACCTTGATCTGTAAAAAAGTGACATTTTAGTATGCATTCTTCAACATCAAAAGTTAATGTAAAATACTAAAAGCATTCATAACTACAATACTTAACACGTACCAAAGGACGGAGAACTCATTGTAAAAGCTTGTGCTTGTGGAATGTTGTTACTCCAATACGAATATGGATCATCTGACGCTCCAAATTCGTTGTCTGAAAGAGCAAAATTATTGATATTGACAGCATACAAGATATGAAAACAAAGGGCATATTTTGGTATAAACATCGAATTACTACGCAAGTTCTGCCGAATGAAAAAAACACTGAATCAAACATCATTGCACATTTCCTTTTATGGATTAAAGGATGTGCACTGTATACGTCAATTAGAGGCAACCTAACGACATACAAATTTGAGCTTTCTAAAAAAACTGTGGACTGCTTCGCTCTATCCTAATTTAAAGTTTTCATGTGGTTGTTGATTTAGTATTGGAAATGTGGTATTTTTAGATATTGATTGATATAAAATGGATGTCTTAGACTTGGAATATCAATTTTTGTATATATATTAAAATGAACATTTCTGAAATTCTAAACTGGCTGTTCTGTGTTGAGTTGTCAATGTGTTTTTGTAGAGTGTGGCTTTATAGTTCTTTCAGCAGGTCATTGACTTGCGATTTTGATTGCTAGTTCTGTATATAATTTATTTAGATATATATGAATGTTTAGGTATGTTGATGAAGAGAAACATGATTTCGAGTGATGAAGACAATAACAATCAAAACCAAGGAGTAAACAAAGACTTGTACAACCAAAAGAAATTTACAACAGTTAAAATAAATAAGAAACAGCAATAAATATTTAGTTTCAGTGAAAATGATGTTGTTCTACTTTAAGAGTGTGCGTTATACACCCATGCTATAAACTTTTGTTCACTTTACTTGTTGAAAATTAAAACAATTACAAATAGACACGACACTGGAGGTGTGCCTAGATTGGCAGAAGTTTAGAATACAGATAATGCATTTTTGTAAACATTGTATAGGAACATTATTTAGCAAAACAAATCGTGCATATTGCAAATTAACAAAGCAAATAAACACGTACTATTAATTGATATTTCAATATTGAATTTCAGTGTGCAATATATGCATAATAAAACGAACATGAATTAATGACAGTTGATAGTTAATTTTCCGGCATTTGATGTCTTATCCTGAGACGAGAAAAGTCTGTAATTCTTTATCTCATTTAAGCCAATAGCAAACGCAACCAATCAGAATCTATATGTGATAAGTAATTATTTCAAGATGGCGTGTATATCGACTGAAACTAATAGCTCCGCACCGTGATGCAAAGCAAACACAAAAAAATCTCGACGACGAATTAAAGTATCTTTGTATTTTGGGAAAATGTGTGAATATGCTGCAGATAACGCGTTCTTGTTATTCTCAAGCGAATTTTATTTATTGATGTTAATAACATTAGGTTGTACGGTGACTATATTCGACATTTTCTGATACTAGTATCTTATAGCCACGCATAACATCTATACTATATACCATTAGTATCTATACTTTAGGAAATAATAATGTTGTTGTTGAATAATATAGTACGACATAGGTAAACTTCAAGGTACATTTGAAGGATAAAAAACAGAAAAACAGAAGATCTCTTTTAGAAAAAGTTGAAATGTTGATGTAGTTTTTGGTCTTGTTTAATGGTTTATAAGAATCTATGGTGAGTTTTTTATAAGTTGCGAAAACAGCATACGTCAATTACGAATCTATTTCGCGTATAGGTCATCAACTTTGTGTATTAACGAAAGTTTCTGATATGACCATGTTCTATCCAGAATACGACAATACTTACATACTGATTAAAGAAATAAACACATTCAGAGGACATAAAACAAACATGGAAACAACACATTTTGAATTCCATGCGTCCGAAGCGGTGTCCTGGATTTACCTTCATCAGGAACGCTCAGTGCCGAATATTTGACAGCAGCCAGGGATGTACAAGAACCAAAATAGTTCATTTATTTTATTTGTTAAAATATGCATTTATTATTCCTTGCAGTGGATAAAGAAATGCAGTGTTAACATAATGTATGTATCAACTGTCTATATTTTGCTATTTATATACATTTTGTCGTTCGACAAGAATTATTTACCTGACCTCGTCACTGCACAAGTATAATCAAAATGTACTCACCGTTCGGATCTATGACGTTGTTTTGGCCTCTATTTAAAGGCGTAGTAACAACCATAGATGTTAATGGTGTTACAAAGTTATACTGTAAAAAGAAAAGAAATTATCATATTTTTTACCACAGACTAAATGTATATGTCACTAATGAAGGCCATGTGTTAGAAAAAACTAAACCACACTTCGATATGAATGAAAATCATGAGTACACGATATCAAGTAATCTTTTCTATCAGAACTTTTGGAACATAAAATATTTCTTAATAGCGAATTCATATTATTGTGGAGGAAACACAGCTCTATGCATGCATATAATGTACTCAACATTATATGGATAACACCATTGAGTGTTTTGGGTTAGTGGAGAGGCCTTAAAACTATTGACTTTCCGGTGGTCGAACGTACAAATAGTAAATCCATTAAAATGTACATCTATATTTACGTGCACTTGCATAAGGTCGATTTCTATCCGATGCAGCTCATATACGGTACTGTATTTTAATAGACCATGTATTGGTTATATACGGGATGAAATATATTTTGCAGTATAAAATCGGTTTTCTTTTTATGTATTTGTCGTATTAGAGTATGATTAGTTTTAATGCATTTAATTGTTGGCCAGAGAAAATAAATGGGCGCTCTTCTTTGCTTAAAGGGGCATTAGCTGTCAAATTCATGTTCACCGATTTGACTCAAATTCTCATATTTGATTTTATAACATTCTTAAACGTATTTCCAAATTACAAATAAGTCTGAAATAAACAATTAACAATGCATAGACTCGATAATATATAATAGCATTTCGTGTGTTTTTTAGTCTAGACGCCATCTAATTTACCATCGAGATGACCTCTGAAGACTGGCGACGGTCACATAACCCGATTTAAACATAAAAACATAAATATAAATATATAGTGACCTCGTGCAATTGAACCTTTCTAGGTCTGTTTAATTTCATGTTATAGGTTAAACAATAATTTAATCATCGTTTTTAACTGTATAAGAATGATTGATTTTTTTTTGGATCGGGTCAGTCAACGAGTGGTTCACCTTTGTTTCACTTTCGATGTTGACATTCTTTTCCTTTTAATGGTTGAACACGACTAATACATGCGTAACCAATCTCTTGCGAATGGGTTAAATTGAAGGTCACATGAATACGGATTCAATGAGGTCGAATTATTCATTTGCAAGAGAACAATTCATCAGCGATTTTTCTTAGCTTATTTTAACAAAATTGAACTAAGTTGGCTGCTAAAAGCGAATTAGTATTTCACCATATCACTTTCATTAATGATTGAACAAAAAAAATCATATTTAATTTTTTTCCATATCTCGTAGATAATGCCCCTTTAAAAATAAAACGCTGCATCAACTTATTCATAGTCTAAAATTTAACTCCAGTCAATATGAAACGTAACTTTAAGCTTTAATGAGTATTTCTGAATATGAACACCCCTTGACCTGGCCATTTTCTTATTCATTTGACCCTTATGGATATTGGAACAAATAAACAATACGTCATCGTACAAAAAAGTATTGAAATACATTTCCAATAAAAATGTATATCTTTTTTTCTTAAAACAATGTAGGAAAAAGAAAAAAAATACAAAACAATACCTTAAGAGCTAGCTTTAAAGCTCGATATTTCATATCGTGTCTCGTTGTCGTATTCAACTCTCGCAGTCTGTCGTTTAAAAGTTGTTTTATTGTTAAATAAGCCCACATTTTCTCTGCAATGTGAGAATAACTAAATCCTTCAAATTTCTTTTTCTCACTATAATTTGCTCCATGTATATAAATATTAGAAGCTGACCGTAGTTCCATTGTGCCATTTAATCCGTTACCTGTAACGGAAAGTCTCAACTCTTGCAAATCTCGCGATGCTAGTTGCCCAGTTATTATAATTTCTGAACCCTCAAAATAATTTGGAATTAAGGCATTTGTAATTGATGACTTAACTGTCTCTTTACCGATAAACTGGAATGTTAAATTAGAAATTAAAACTGATGACACTTCATCATAAAAACCTGTCAATTGGATTGTGGCGTCAGACGCTTCATATATTTTTCTGCAAAAAGCATTATTCTGCGCTGACATTTTCTTCATAAAATTATAATCAGCATTTTCACCAAAAGCAAGACTAAAAATTGGAACACCTCCAGTGTTTCGTCCTTGAATCGAGTTTAATATTTTAGCAGTATCGGTTTCACCAGCTGTTGGGTCCCCGTCTGTCAGAAATATTATCACTGGTGTAGTGTCACTATCACTTATGTTTTTATTAAGTATTGCAGTTAATCCTTCTAATACAGCGTCATTTATATTCGTCCCTGAAAATCATAAAATGAAGCGATCACTAATTTTTCATTATTCAACAATGTTCACAGTAAATATATCTAATAAGGTATATTGCTGCAGTTGACTTGATGTAAAACTTCTTTGATATGGGCGTTGCTGTGCACTGACAGACTATTGAACAAAAGGTTATGAATGATAAGCTTGAAATCGTCCTTTCGAAAGTTTAACGGCTGCCGTAATGATTTGGTTGGCCGTTATTGAATTTATGTGTCACAGTTGACCACGGCTTTGTTTCACTTGTCATAACCCAATCTTGTTCTCTTTTCCTGCGCTTGGCATCGCCAATGCGACTTATGATCGATTTTTTACTTGCAATGAGTAGCACGACGGCAGACATTAATGGAGAAGAATCTTTCTACCCTTCTGGAGCCCCTGAGTCCAATTCTAGGATATGTGTTGTTCAATCTTTAATTTTATGTGTAGTGTTTTGCGGACTGTTGTTTATTTATTTGTTTGTTTTTTGTTGGTTTTTTTTTTCGCTTTACTTTTTGGTCATGATGTTGTCTGTTTTTATTCGACTGATTGGTTTTGATTTTTCTGGACTTTACAGAAGTTTTTAGGTCATCTAAGGTCGGTAAAAAAAACTTAAGTATTATATATAATAAAACAATATATCTCAGGTTGAAGTTTTGATTTAATTTTTTGTTAGTTTAAGTTTTTACTATTTGTGTAATGAAAATCTTTGCTGTACATCTATTAAGTTTTTGGGTTATATAGAATTTAATGTAAAAGAATAATCTATCGTAAGTGATTTTTACTAGACTGCATATAATGTCTATAATATAAGTAAGATTGCATAAATATTGTTTTATCACTTTTTTTGTATGATTGCGCCATATCAATAGTTGTTTTAACACTATATTATTGGAATACAACAATGTATAAGATATGTCATAACAAAGAGGTCGTTTTTACTTACATGAAAAAGATGAATACGACTGCAAATAAGACTATCTATTAAAGAGGGGACACTATATGTAACTGAGTGTCCATATTTCCTCAAAAAGTATTTTTTTGTTAAATGTTTACATAAGGTATGCTGTAGCATTTCAGTTTATAAAATTACATATCTATACTACTAAAGGAGGAAACCGATTTCATTGAGCCGCAACTCCTCTGAAACCATACAAAGTCGGAAATATTTGTGATATGACGTATAAATGTAGTGTTTTGTACTTCATAAATTTGTCTTTGAAACAATCTTTTTTCCACAGAAAACGCCAATTTTTGAGAAAATATCAAAATTCGGAGACCGTTATCGACCAGTGTCTTTTACGCTTTCGCGCATGCTCAGTCGACGTACTGCCAGACAACTCGGCCCACAGCCAACTCGCACCACTCAAACACTCTCGCTAATTATTACAACTTGCATCACTTTATCAAACTCGCACCACTCAAAAAAAAAAGTTATATAACAAACTCGAAGAAATCTGTTTAATCATTAGATTTTTTTCTTCTTCACTTAGTAAATTCCTACTTTCTCGGAGCACCCGTGTCACACAGAGACAGAACTCGCACCACTCGAAAAAAAATACTACAAACTCGCACCACTGAAGAAACTTTTTAAATCATCAGAGAGTTCTAGATTGTCTTCTTCTTCTCTGAGTTATTTTCTCCGTTCTTGGAGCACCCGTTTCACACAGAGACAGAACTTGACTCGCACCTTTCGAGAAAAGAAAAGAAATACTACAAACTAGCACCACTGAGAAATGTTTAATCATCAGTGTGCTGGGTTGTCTTCTTCTTCTCTGAGTTATTTCCTCCGTTCTAGGAGCACCTGTGTAACACTGAGACAGAAGCTACTAATTGGACATTCAAACTCCTTTGGAAGAAGAACTGACAAACTAATAAAAATATAATGCATCAGTGCATAAAAACAGATTGAGAAACACCAACCCAAGCTGTGTATCACCATAAACATTTCAAGTAGTCTTCAAGCCGCGTAAATATAAAACGAAGCATATACCTTAAAAATGTTTAGACAAACGTGTACTTGTCTTCTATAGCGACATCATTTACATTTTTGCTGGCGTCATTTCTCTAACGAAAAGTTTTAAACAAAGGTACATGTATATTGCACAAGAACAGGAAGGCGTATTGGGAAAATGTTGGATACAGTTTAATGATTTTAAAGTGGACAGATCTTAAATACTTGGTGATTTTTTAAGGTAGATAACAATTGTTTACTCCTGTTTGTTATAAGAATTTAAATTTTTATGAAAAACAATCCAGAGATCGCATGAATTGTAGTTTTACTTTATCATTAGTCAAGCTCAAATGAGAAACAAATTTTAACCAACCTTTATTTTAGACAACTTCCGTATACATGTTCATATACTTACATCCATCAGCAGTTAAATTCTTGATAAACGTTTTTGCAGAATCTATTGCGTCAGGTGTGGCATATTCTACTGGCAAATCGGTTGACCATCTTGAAATTTTATCATTAAATTCTATGATGTTAAATAAATCATTTTCTTGTAAATCGTCTAAAATTTGCATCATAGCATCTTTTAGCTGTTGCATTTTTGTACCTATCATTGACCCACTGGTATCCAATATAAACAAAATTCGTCTTGCCATTCGATGGAGACCAGTCGGAGCAAAGAAGTGCACAAAGAAACCATCGACAATCTGTAAATAAATAAATAAATATATTAGATTCATTATTGTTTGCTTAACGTCCAGTGACAATTATTTCATCCATATTCAAGAAGAGTCCGAGTTAGAGTTATTAGCAATATTAGAGTTATTCCGCTTATGACAAATGTGATAAGACCAACACAATTTAATGTAATGTCAGTCCGGATATATGTACGTTTCCAATGAAAAGTAAAATAACAAACAAGGAAAATTCAAAACGGAAATCCGTTATCAAATGGCAAAATCAAAAGCTCAAACACATCAAACGAATGGAAAACAACTGTTATATTCCTGACTTGGTACTTATGTAAAAAATGGTGGATTAAACCTAGTTTTTATATAGCTAGCCAAACCTCTCACTTGTATGACAGTCGCATAAAATTCCATTATATTGACAACAATGTGTGAACAAAACAAGAAGTCAAAGTATAGCTTGGTCATGGCAATGATAGGGTTTTTTCGTACATAAAATATATTTGTATTTTTGTTTTGTTTGAACAATAATTCAACATTCTGATTATTGATATATAATAATTGTTTTGTTTCATTTGGCAGACACCCCACTTCTAAAAGGTTTTGCACAATCAATGAAAGTTTATAATTCACGTAGGTGGTCATCAATATTTTTTATTATTATAAGTGGTCAGCAATATCCATGATATCAAATTAAATAATGCATGCTCATCTTTATCTTTTTCGCTTGGTTTCATATTGAAGACTATTCAATAAACCTGAGATAATGAAGAGTTAAAGAGTATAAAAAGAGATGCGAGGTATTCGTCTTTTGAAACAACAACCCAATAACACAAAAACAATTACATCTGGAGGTCACAATACGGTCTTCAACAATAATCAAGTGTTTATAAAACAGATCAAGATCTAAGTCTAGAAACGCTGTGAATAAATTAAACAGAGACTATCACAGATCTACAATCAATTCTAGATTCTCTTACTGAAACAAACAAAAAAACATCAATCAATATTCCTTACTTGGGATTAAGCATATTTTGTGAAAAGCAAGTCATATGAGCAACTGAAAACAATTTTTAGTCAGAAGTCATTTAAATTTCTATTTTTTTTAGTTATTATTTGACGATCAGAGTAAGTCACAAATAACTATTAAAATGAAATATTGTCAAAGTTTTGAAAGCCATAACACGGGATATATTTCAACTAATTTTTTGTTTGTCTTGATAAATTCCACTAAATTTCTTTTTAAAACAAAAACAAAATAGATACCGGTATTTTCTCGTGCATCTTTACTAAAATAAAAATTATTTCGCTCAGAAATAGATTACGACTACAAAGCTGTTTAGCAAGTTTCAAGTTCTACTGTATCGTAAGAGATATAATTACCCAATGTAAAGTCATTAATATTGGATGTTCGCTCCTCTGTTTTAAAAATAACAAGCTTTTTAACAGACTGTTATAAATTGATAATATAAAGATAGCAGAACTTGTTCAGCAGAAAGCAATGACAGATTTTTCACAAATTTTACATTGGCACCTTTTTTTCAAAAACTATGAAAAAATAACAAGGATTTTACGAAATTTTCAAAAATGGCTTTTTAAAATATGTAATGAAATTATGAAAAGAAAAATAGTGATTAGCTAACCCGAATAGTTCAGTCCCTCTCCGTATTCGATCTCTCCTACTTGCGAGGTTAATCGTAGTTCAGCGGAATATAACGACTGAATTATTCGGGTTAGTGGTTAGCGGGCAAAATTTTTATTGGCACAACATGGATAAAGCTAGAGGATTCCACTTATCTGACAAAAAGTCAAAATCTCCTCGACAGTACCGGTCGTATTTTGCTCAGATATTAATGAAGATTGACAAATCTCAGCACGGTAGCTTCTTTAAGGTCTTCAATATCATATGGGAAATGCATTCAAGTTAATTTGGTAAAATTGCTGCTACCACTTAAGGTAAACTTATAAAACAATACTAACTAGAGGCTGTCAGAGTGACAGCAAACCGGATTTTCCTGCAGAGGTCGAACCCTGAACAGTTGAGCAAGTATGGACACAACATTTAAGCTTAAAACAGCTCTGAATTTGGATTGTGATTTAATATTTGACACAGCGTAGGAGTGTGACACAAAATGAATGTGGTCAAAGAACTGAAAATTTTGAAATCGGACATTTACCTATTATGGTCCAATATCCAAAATCTAAGTACATTGTTGGAATCAGTATATCAAAGAACCCCAAGAATTCAATTTTTGATGAAATCAAACAAAAGTTTAATTTAGGACCCTTTGGACCTCAATGTGATATTATCTAATTAATAATACAAATAAATACAGGTTTAGATTCAGCATTTCAAAGAACCCTATATATATTCAATTTATGTTGAAATCAAACACAGTTTAATTTTGGACCCCGATTTGGACCAACTTGAAAACTGGGCCCAAAATCAGAAATCTAAATATATGTTTATTAATAGACAATATAAGCTTAGTTTTTAAAGGAGTTCGCTTCATCAAAAACAATATATATATATAGCATTCAGAAATTAGTTTATACAGAATAACAAACAAACCTACCACAAAATTCTTCAAACAATTTACCAAAGAAAGAAAAATAAAATCCAAAATGTCATTTATCATTAATACAATGTCTTTAAAAATCTATAAAACGTATCTGTAATTATCTTCAAAATGTCTAATAATGAACAGTAAATTTCAAACTATATTTATTTCTTCCTACAGAGCTTATCATCATCAACACTTAGGAAACAAAAAATAAATCTGTCAATTCAATTATAATTGTGTGATTGATATTTACCACATGCTTTCTTATCTGATAACAGGTGAAAATTATTTAAAAACACTTAGTGTAATCTAACTTTATATATATAATTAATAGTTCCTTATATTTTTTCTTTCATTTGTCACAAACTAACATAGATCTGCAACTTATCTATCAATGTAAACAACTTTATCTATACAATGTAATGTAATGAAATTTATCCTTTAATAAAAATAGATTATTATCTAATGAAAATGATATTTGCAAATCTGGACCCCCAAACAGGATCAAGTAAAAATACCACATAACAACTGTGACATCTACCTTCAAAACACACATGACTTAAAAAAAATAGTTATAAAGAAATTTTTGACAGCTCCTGACTTAAATCAATTGAACAGATACAATCATTGATAGACTATCTATACACCATTTCTGTTCAAAGGGAAATAACTCAATCATATAATAAATATCACTTTTGGCTACTGAAAGGTCTACAACTCAACAACGAAAAAAGCTAAAATCGTGAAAATTGAACTTGACCTTCATTTAGTCACAGGAAACAACATATCTAAATTTGAAAAAATTTCATCAAAGCTTTCATGTTAATGAACGGACACTGTTTTGCAGCCGCCCGCCCGCACGCCGTACATCCCCAAATCAATAACCGATTTTTCCTTCGAAAATCCGGTTAAAAATTGTTTTACTCGTGTCACAAATGTATATCACATAACGTTTTTGTTCAGAAACTTTAACTTACTAGCACATCTCCAGCATCCAATTTTCTATCAACATCATATTCAACGATGAACAAGCCCGAGAGGCCATGCATCGAAGCTCGAATTTGATCTTCACGTGATGGATTATATCTTATAAAGGCTGATGTCGGCGAAGTTCTGTCCACAATCGCATATCTGTTTCGAACTGTTCAGAAAATAAAAATGATAAGTTATATTCTTCAATGCAAATACAGAGTATATTAGAGTTGTCTCATTGGCACTCATACCACATCTTCTTATTTATATAAAAAAAAATTATACTACGTGTCAGCTATTCCTATTTCATTTATTTTAGTATCGTTTATTTATTCTTAAGACATGCATTGTACTATTAAAGCTTAATTATGTATAGAGATTTATATCATAATTATGTACATAAGACCTGTTGAAAATCAAATAATTTATATTTTATTTTTTTGCATATTTTGGCGTAGACTGCTTATTTAATTCAGGTTGTTTGATTTCTATAGCATTTTGAATGATTATTAATCAATATATATATATTGTTCTTAATATATATTTAAAGTTGTTTTAACGGAATTAACATTATATTCTCCATTGAAAAAATTCAGGAGTTTACAATTGTGTCGTCCTCCATCACATGTAATCAACACCGGTTACTTTATAATCTACCACGAACTCTTGCAGACAGTAAGTATGGAATCAAAGAGTGTCGTTTCACGGTAAACAAAATGTTTTAATACTTCAAATATTTCTGATGACCATTAAATAATTGAAAACTACAACGTTTTTTAACATCGCATAAACCACTATAAATGGATACATTATTAAAACGTGAAATACAAAATGCAGTTCCAGTGTTCCGTGTCATGGTCCCGGTCAGGAGTCATGATATACAACGGAAAGAAAACAATTATAGTAACGAGTATCGTTTGTTATCTACTGATTGACCTGAATAAGACATTCTTTATAAGTGCATAAATTACATGTTCTCTGTAATACTACAAGTAGGTTTCAAGTGCTATCACTTAACTTTGCTATATTTAGATCTTTTATAGTCCTTCAATAAATTCCAACAACGGGAAATATTCTTAATGAATGGAGCTCTTTAGTCATTATCACTTTAATTATCATTTCATAATTAACAAGTAATGTTTATACACCTTGAATTTTCAACTGAGGACACTTTTCTAACCGTTCTTGATATGACATGTACATGAAAAGATATCAGAAAATTTAAACAATAACTGCCAATTTCAGATGTGGCATACACTATCATTATATGAAAATATTAAGAGTATTTCATTTAAATTTGTAAATGAGATTGTGGCCACGATAAACAGAACACATATTCGTTATCATCTTAAAACATAAATATAACGTAACGGCCTAATAAGTTGTGACTTTCAACCTTACCGTGAAGAAACCTAGAAATATTATTGTCTCTGATTGTCGAAAGTTTATTTCGCTGGACCTATGAATATGTCCAACTTGCACCGATACTTAATTCAATATTTCTGTATTTTCGCAATTTTGGACACCTACAATATTTTTTTTTCAATATACCGACATAAATGTTATTAGTTGTGATTTTAAGATTGTTCTACATTTTGGTCACCGATCCGACTTTGGTTTGGTTTCTTTTTGTACTTTTAGCGATTTCCTGTAAGGCACCAATAAAACAGCTGTAAAATCTGCAAGAATGTCTGGAGTTCAAAGAGAAGACACTATATATATAAACTCCGATTGCAGTGATACTTCTTTTAAAGTTATCCAAGGGGATGTCAAAAGATTAAGATGTGCTCAAAATAACATGTTCCCTTTGATGTTATGACCACTGTGTTAGAGATTCCGTTAAACTTTGATCTTATTAGATTAGTATGCGTGCTAATTGAGAACAGAATTTTCACGTGGTTTATTTGAATACTTATGATAGCTTGTGTTGTAAGAAATGTTCAACTTTATTTTTATTTTTCTCCCCAAATAACAGCAATGATATAAAATACTATTTGTTTGTCCCTTTCTTTTTAACTATTGACCCTAGCAAAAACAACTGTTTTTGAAACCGTTCTATTTATTGTTTTAAATGTTATATAAAAAGAGAGGTAAGATACTTTATAATCTATAGTAATTTGAAACCTTAAGAGTTTGTAACTTGTTAGTCACTTAATCTGTTACTTTTTTTAAATGTCAATAGTTGTACATATACATTTTAAATACCTGCTGTATTATAATTTGAAAGGATATCATTTCGTAAAGGTGGAACTCGTAGTAAGGTTATCTCTCTTGATTCCTGTATATATACTTCTATTCGGAAGTCGTCAACTATCTGTCGGGGGTTAATGTATATGGTGTGGTCGTAACTGCCACGTCGACGTTGTAAAATCTCATTATACGTCAGGTAAAACGTGACTTCACTCAGAGCTGCAACGTTGATGGCAACTTTGAATTTGTTCGTATCTCTTGGTCTGAAAAATGTAGTTTGGTTTAGTAATAAATGGTATAAACGATAGAAAGCGAATGTTAGTAAATGGTTGATTGAAAGAGTACATTAACTTTCGTAAATAACTTTTTAACTCAACAGGCCAAATATGCCATTATGAGCTATTTTTTATTATAATTTTTTTAAACGTTGTTGTAGAACTGCAAGGTTTTAACCCTTTCAGTGTAAAAATGTCAAGGGATATCATTTTCTGTATTGTACAGACCTATCTTTTTCACAAGTATCGAGTCTATCAGTATCATGTGCAGAGGCGGATCCAGCCATTTTTAAAAGAGGGAGGGTTCCAAATATGTGTCCCCATTCAAATGCATTGATCGTAAAAAAAAAAAGGGGGGGGTTACAACCCCCGGGCAACCCCCTTCCCCCCCTTTCCTCTTGGATCCGCCACTAATGTGTTGTTCGTTGGTGTAGTCCGATGTACTGTCAATTATTTTTTGGGTAATTCCTGTTTTCCTTTTTTTTTTTGCATTACATAATGTATTTGTCCTAACTATTTTGCCCTGAATATGCATGAGGTATTTTGAAATGGACTCACAAAAATTAAATTTATCAACCAATCAGTATGCATTTAATATTTGTACAAACAGTTCTTCGACCTTCTGTAAATTAAATAATTTAAAAACTAAAACACAACAAATTGAAGTGTTTTTTTGTTGTTTTTTTTTTTGCTATTGTCTATTTGTCCACAATTGTTCACATTTTTATTACCTATTATAAAGTTGCAGCATAATGTCATTCACATTTTCATTTGTAGCAATATCGCCAAATCATCAAGTTATTGACACCATGATCTCATTCAATGTGATATCCTGTATTTATCATGTTTTATTCTAAATTATAGTACAGTTACGGATAAACCCTTTCCCTTTTCTTAACTACTTTCGGCTTTCAATAATAATGTGGTGTAAACTTTATTTATTCTTGCCATCGGGCTAACGCCGTCAGGGATATATACATAGACAATTACTCATACCATCTTTCGATAGTATCAGATACTGAATAAGATGTTTATGATAAAAAGCTAGTGAACTTCAGGGAATTTCTTTGATTTATTTGCTCTTATAGAATATATTATATTTATCCCAGTAAACTTACAAAGCTAAATCTCGATGAGACGTAACTGATTATTTCGACACGCGTATTACATTTGCTTACTAACATGGAAATATTACATAACCGGCTTAAGGCAGCCAGAGAAAGAATTTAGAGTCCCATCACTGCCAACCGAAGCGCAGGATAGTTCAGCATAAATTGCTTACTTGCGACATTAGGCGTATTGGTCAAAGTCTGTAATGGACATGAGACACTAAAATACATGTATATATTTACCCTTATTTGCAAAAATTCTCAAAGTTATAACCATTTATCTATTCTTGAAGGTAGTAGTTCAGAATTGGATGCATAATGCAAAAAAAAAAAAAAACTCAACACAACCTTCGTGATAAATATACAATTAAATACGTTCTGTATATCTAGTGTAGTGATTTTTTTTTGGGGTAAAATAGAGGCCAAAGTATGACGAGTCCATTCGGTCATAATTAATTTTGCCAAAAACTTTATGTTTAAAGGTAATTTTAGTTCAAATAAGTTAATTTCTACATGTTTATGACATCTTCGGGATGTCACAATTTTGAAAATCTTGACTCCTTTTGCAATTTCAGGAGCCAAATACTGGCTCGTATCATACCTCCTCCTTTCGAGGAGCTTTTGAATCTCTTACTTCATTCCAACGTGTCCTGCTGATTGTCCACGTTGCCGTGCTTGTTCGTACTGCTTCTTTGCGGTTTCCTTGTCTTTGATTTCTCCAACATATCTTTTGCCCATTATCTCTCTGCAAAAGTAAATAATTTGTAAACGCATCTTTTTTTATCCATTTCTTTCGGGGTTTTTTCTTCTCAAAATCAACCTATTGTTGCTTTAGTATGTAGATACTTTATAAGACGGATGTACGCAGCGACTTTCTTGCTTTGATTTCTTTTGTTTAGATATTCATCAATAGTATAAATAGAAGAGAAAAAAATAACAGAATGTAGAAAACAGAATACCCTATCTCTTCATACATACATTAATCATTCTTTTAATAGTCTGCACTTGTCTAGTGTACCAAAGGAACTATTTTTGATTTTTTCTTCTTCTTTAAAATAACGCCTCTTTACAACAATAAATTTTTATGATAGTCTGCACTTGTCAAACAAGGGAACACGTTTAAGAAAACATTTAAGATTTGAAATTTTCAAAACATTTTGAAAAGCCTTGAACGAGCTCCTGTGATAATATAACACATCTACTTTAAAGTAGTGGGCACGAGTTATAGTGCTAAGATACTACAATTCCAGCTCAATCTCAAATTGAGACTAAATAATGCATTTAAACGAAAATACAAACTTTAAATCTACAATCATATGATTAAATAACTTTATACTTGCAGTGAAAAGTTTGATATGAAAGCAGCTTCTGGTAGTGTAACGTCGAATATGGTTTCTCTGTCCTTTAAGTCTTCGTTTAGAATAGAGCTCGTCACGTGGGTGGTAGCAAATCTGTACTGAATTTCGGAACGTATGTGAAGTGCGACAATTCTTAAACTCTAAAAATAAATTACAGAAAATTTTAGTTACATGTTTTATTGGTACAAAAATTCATCCTTTTCCTGTTTATTTATTGAGTTGTATTTATAATTTGAAAAATCCATTCTGAAAAAAAAAGTTTATTTTTCAAATGCCGTCAATGAATATTTTCCTATTTTTACACCTCAGTTTCAAAATAAATTGTGTTCGTGGTCATTTGATAGTGTGGATGTGATATTAATTTGAATCGGATAGTTCGACTCCAATTAAAGTGAACATAAGGAGATGCTGAGTATGCGTCCATGGACGCCAATCCAGCAACACAAATAGCAAAATGACCTCAAGAGGCAACATACAAATATATTTTTGATATATAGCAGAAGGTCGCTTCAAAAGATGAAATAAATATCACAAATCACATACATGTACTCCCTGCATTTTGAGAGGCCGTTTAGATATTTGAAAAGTCAACTATATTCCACTAAAGTTACCAAGATCTATGTTTTGGTGTAATTATACGAGAAAGAAGGCGGACATTATGTTCTGAAGATATATTTGCTATGTAAATTGATAGATACCCTTGCTGTTCTGTATTAAAACACAACTATCTACAATGTAACACGTACGCCTTTGTATTGATAACAATGCATTCCCATTGATTTTTGACACATTGATATGTAAGACACATATTTTTATATCATACAAATGTATATAAACTTGTGCTATCAGTTTGCATGCTGTCAGGGTAATTGATAAGAAAATATTGTTATTGGTTTTTACTATTTCACTTGCCAATTAATTAGCACTTCAGTATCATAAACCGTTCTTATCAGTGGAAGAAAAACAGATATTGGAGCTTTGTGTTGAATCTATCTTTCATCGATAGCAAGTGTATATTTGAAACACCTCAAAATAAACAAAAGACTTAAATAAGAATCTAAACACCTGGTGTGACATTGATGCATTCGAAGACATACTGAAAACATAAAATTAGGGTGTCAAATAACTAAGTGCATCCATTAAAATTATATTTAATGCTTAACCTGACTTTCAACATCAAAGAATCTAGGTTTCGATTATTCAGCTGTTAACAATTCCTGGGAGAATGCATATTTATTCATTGCTGAACACTAAAAAATTTTGATTCGGTCTGGGATATCTAACATTATGATCTAATTTCTATCAATTTGTAATTCAACAAGTTTTAGCTATAGGAATGAATATAATAGAATTTTTACAGGTTACCTTAATTTTATTTCAAAAACGTCCATAATAAAATTCAACATATAAAACCGATACCCTTCTCAAAAAAACAAATTTCAGGAGAGTTGTCGTTGGTTGCTGTCTGCATGTCATATTTGTTTTTCGTTTGTTTGCTATTTTATCACGATTGCTAAATAACAGTTTTTTCAATTGAACTGTTTCAAATTTTTCATGTTGGTGCCTTTTATAACCGACTACACGGTTTTTCTCATTGTTGAAGGCCGTACGGTTGCCTATAATTACTTATATCTACTTCTTTTGAACTTTGATGGATAGCTGTCTCATTGGCAATCATACCTCATGCCACATCTCCTTGGTATAGTTCTATGTCATTTGGTCTCTGATGGAGAGTTGTCTCATATACAATCGTAACACATCTTCTTATTCTTATAATACCGTGCATTTAAGTTGGAAATGCTCTAGCCTTAAAGCATTAAGTATAATGAAGAATGGTGAATATTTATATCTTTACAGATCAAAGTGAATATGGTCCCAACACGTTAGTTATACATGGATATCTGAACAAAAATACTAATTCGAACTAAAAATCAACCAGAACCGGTTAGAGAATGTAAGTAGAATGTTAGATAAAGACGAAAATATTCAAAGAAATATTGATAACTTAACATTTCGAATATGGGTATCGCCGAAAACAAATGTTTATTGTAAGGCTGTTCATCAACAATGAAGTAAACTGTTCTAAAAAAGGGAAAAATCAAAATCGAAAAATGTATTTGCACTATATATGGATGTGAATATTTAATTTCTATAACAAAATTGTGATTTTCATTTATTAAGGTGGTACCTAACACTACAGGGAGATAACTCTGTAAAAATCAGCTAAACGTTTTAATTACGTTGTATTGTTAAGGAAATATTAAGCTTCTCAATGATCAAAATTAGTGTTTGTCAAACTGCTATATAACCAATGAAATTTTTCTGAAAAAGTGGTTGGTTCAAATTTTTTGAAATTTTTATATTTTTGTCAAAGGGTCAAAGTAAACATTTTGTCAAAATTTTATGAAAATTAAACGAGCCAAATTAATATTAGTCAAGGTGTTGGGTACCACCTTAATTATTGTTTTTATCCTTTAAAAAATATAAAATGACAGGTATATATGCTTTTTTTTAAAACAAATAACTATGTATGGTCTTTTTTGGCGTGATATAAAATAATCAGTTAACTGTGTTTATGGATTTTTAAACTAGCACATCTTTACTTATTGGCCCATGTATGTCCTATCCCTTAAAGAGGGAAAACATACCTAGTTGGACAATCAAATAACATAAATTCGAAGAAAAATAAACAATATTATAGCAAAATAAGAAAAACGTTGTAAAGACAAACAAACCGACAAAATACCACACAGAAAACCAACAACACAAACCCGAAGATTAAGCAGTTTGTGCTCTTCTAAATGATCTCGTCTTGTTACTCATTGCAAGTAAACTTAGAAGACAATTCGCACTAGATGATATTAAAATCGAAGAAAAGAGTGCGGAAAACTGAGCATATAGTTTTTGAAAATAAATTTTGCATCCATAAAATGATATTGTATTACGGAATATTGGTTTGTTTTTTGTCTTGAGTCATATTTCATCAATATTTAAAACAAGGTAAAACCTTTTTAATTTATAGAACCCTAAATGTGTTTGGTTGATCGGTTATTCCTTTCTTAACTTCCAGTTACAAATATTTCATACAAATTCAGGACGAGAACCGTATAACAATTTATACATTAGCCGGACTCCCTGGAGTTGCTGCAAGTGTTCTTAAACGTCCAAAGAGCTTGCATGTAAGTCTCCCTTCACGAGGCATTTGATTTGACGATGATTCCGACTGCCACTGTAAAACAAGGGTTTGTTGGATAAGGATACAAATTTTGCCTCACAACAGGCCAGGTTCGGACCTGTCGGTCGGTACACGGCTTTTTTTTCTGCACTGTATAATATCTGACTTATACAGCAAAATTAATGCTTATCGTGTATACGAAACAACTGCATGATTACCTCTATAAACCTTCTGCACTTTACATACATGCATGCAATACACATTACCTCTTATCAATTGTGTTTATTGTTATAACGTTTCTCCAACAACAGCTGGGATATTTAAACTTAAAAACAGATGTTACTCGTTTCATTTGACTCAATATATCAGACTTGTATATATTTTTCTTCCATATTTTTCGTCATCACGACAAGGTAATAATGATTAATGTTCTTACACCTAACGTCGTCTTCTTTGGTTAACAGGTTAAGAGAGATCAAAATTAAAATGCAAAATGAGATACAAAGGGGACAACCGTAAATCATGTTGGAATCTCTGGCTTCAATGGATTGAATAAATAGAAATATGTAAACTGCTAGGTTACATGTTTATTGATATGTCAAATTATTCATTTATATTGAGTCGGAAAAAAGAAACAACTATATATATATAAGTATTTTTTTTTGCTTTTTCATATGTTTCTATGGACACCTTAGCTTGATCTCTGCATATATCTTACAGATACAAGAATTTTTGCTAATAAACATATTACTTTAAAACAATCTTAAACTGAAGAATACCCAACACAATTACCTAAAACATTACAAAAAGAAAAAGACATGACAATAGTCCAAAAATATAGGTATATAAGGCATTTCCATTTCTCACAAACCACTCACCCTTCGGGCTCATGGTTTCTTTTTCAAGAATCAACGCTTATTCATTGTATCTATGATACAGAGATCAGACAATTAAAATAAAAGGTCAAGTTATAAAAGTAGACAGTGAAGTACAGTACAAATTCACAATACAATAAATCGGTGCATCAACAGCGCCTTTCTAGAAAAGCTTCGCCAGGAACGCTCAAAACCATCAAAATGAAAGCCTGTGATGTATAAATACTTGAGGCGCTCATTGACCAAAATGAATAGCCAAAACCGTATATGGTAAACTTCGTATGAAGAAGTTGGAACCTATGCTTTTAAACAATTCACAAATTTATCAACTGAAAATTTAAAAGAAATGTATGTCATTCTAAAAATAGGCAAATTATAAATAAAGTATAATATTGCTAAACTTAGAACAAAATAGATCCGGTTTTGCTGTTTTGTTTAGGTCGTATTTTGTTTTTATCAGCTGACTGAATGTTTTCTATATTTACATATGACTAGGTAATAACAAATATTCATGATAAATTTTTAACATAAGGTCAATATCAGAAGTTTTTAGAAAGGGGAAGTCTTATCAAATAGATGGATTGTTTTTTTATGCATTAAAGTCCAGTGGCAAATATTTCATTCACATTCAGGGAGAGATCAAATTGATAAATCCAATAGGTTGTGTTCAACCGGATGGAGGGCGGGAATTTCGACTGCCATTGAACAAAGTGGTATGAATAAGGACATGTGTAAATGGCAATATAAAGACCTATAAAAGAGTTTTTGCAAGAGTTTCTTTAGACGTACAGAGTGCCTACATATCAATCTCTACACACATAACCGGGTTCAATGTCCATATGCGGAACGGACGTGACTGCGTATTTATACAACCTGCATAGCCAAACTACAAGCTTCTTTTATCATGGATCTTACTGCCAGGCTTAAAAGAACAGGAAAGATTATTTTTTCTATATTCTTGATAACTTTAGATCGATAGATATACAGTAATACTCTGAGATAAAATGGCGAGTGGCAGAAAGAAGCAATACATATTGTATTGTTAGGTTTCTGTTCTTCGACGAATTCCAACAAGTCTTATTTTCATTTT